GTGATTTGAATTTGAGTGAGTCAGAACACAACGTTTAGACATTGCATTGCATCTGCCTGAAGTTGGTAGGAATAGACAGAGGCCATCCATGAACAAAAGTAGCATCTGAGTCACCTCTTAAAAAGGCATACCTTTTACTGCATGCTTCATTGTGCCAGAAAAACAGCCTCCCTGGGATCAGAAATCACCCCACTGTGCTCTGCTGGCGTCCTTGCAACACCTATGCATTTCACACTTCTTAACTTGTTCTCTTGACACCAGTGCCCTCACAGCTCTAGTTATCCATCAACACCAGCACCCTGCTCCCTTCCTGAAGCAGCCTTCTCAGAATCTGGCCTCTCTGAAATGATGTAGCAATCACCTGTATGTGCATGATTTGACACATTCCTTTTAAGAAGAAGCTCTGAAAGCACACAGAGTCCAGGGCCCGATTCCCACCCCCAGATTCAGGTGAAACAAAAAATAAGAAGCACTCAGTGGGGGATATGATTGCACAATGTGCACACCTTGCACAGATGGAGAATTCCAAATAGGATGTGAGAAGCTGAAACATATTGGAACAGAAATACTGGGCCCAATTCGACATCCACTGTTCAGGAAATCATTGAATTGTCAAATGCAAAAAGGAGTTAGAAGAAGGAGTGCCAGCCCATAAGTAGACTAACTTGTACCTCGAGGCCCTCTGGTTATCCTTATAATTACTAATATTCTTAATAAATATTGGACATTAACACATTTAATATACCAAGTGTGATGCCAATACTTTGTATATAATACCCCTTTACATGATTTAGTGCACTGAATCCTTAGGGTCATTTGTGATCCATTTATCATTATTTCAGTTGTTTATATATTCATCACCATTTCACAGAGGAGATTTCTGGGTTTAAGTAACCAGCTGACAAGCAAATGGTCAAAATAATTTAGTCCCTTTATTATTGATTATTTTTAATTTTTAGGAATTTATAAATATAATGATATTTTGATAATGGAATAAATTCTGAATCATTTTTTAATTTTGGGGGGGGTTGATATGGTGGATAGGCTACATATGCCTCAATGGATTATGGCGATAGAATAGATGAGATGAGTCATTAAAATTTTTCCCTTTGGATATAGCTAATTCCTGAATACATTACCTTCCCAACAATTCTGAAGGAATAGTAATTGCCAGCCTTATTTCAGAAGTCCAAAGAAACAAAAATTTATATAATCATTCCTCATATGATAACTTCTCATCATAGCATTCTGTCACTATAAGACTTCTTTCTTTCTACATAGTTATGCCAGTCCCTGGCTCACACATACCTTACATGGGGGAACTAAAGCCTCCCAAGAAACCCCAGAATGAGAAAATGTAAGTGGGTTTACAAACCATACTGTGGCCCTCACTGCTCTGTGATTTCTGGATCTTGTTACTTACAACTTTTACTTGCCTAACAGCACAGTTGAGAAGGTAAGTATAGGTGACTTGCAAGTATAGAGTGAGTGATATTCAGAGCATAGTGTGAACGTGTGAAAATTTGCCCCAACCAGTTCTTTAAGTTTGGGGTCATAGTTGTGGCGGCTAAGTGCCATCGTGTTTGTTCAGACTCAGAGGAAGCCTACAGACAACCGAATGAAACATCGCCAGCTTCTGTGACATCCTCACCCTTGGTATATTTGAGCCCATTCTTGCAGCCTCGTTGGCAGTCCATCTAAGGATCTTCCTCCTTTTTTGTTTTTTTGGCTGTACTTAATCCAAAGAAGTTGTGTTTGTTTATATTGGCCCTTTCACAAACTGCCATTGAGTAGATTCTGACTCATAGTGACCCTGACTCTGTAGAACAGGGTACAACTGCAGCTGTGGGTACTTGAGACTGAAAATATTTAAGAAGGAAATCTCTTCTTCCACAGCTTCGTGGAAGAACTGGCAGTAGTGGCTAGTAGCCCAATGTGTAACCCACTATACCACCAGGGTTCATTTTTATGTGGGGTGCCCCCCCCCCTCAGTTCCAGTCTTCTTTTGTTTCTGCCCAGCTTTCATATGCATATGAAGTGATTGAAAGCACAATGCCTTTGGTCAAGTCAAGTACACTTTGGTTCTCCAAGTGGGCCATTATTAATCAAAATCAACTCAAGGGCACTGTGTTTTACTGAGGGTAGCCATTTGTCCAGCACAATGCATCTTTTGATTTCTTGAATGACGATTTGATGAGTATTGATGGACAGCTTCATTCTTTTCTCTGTTTATCATGATAATGTTTATTGGTTTACTTTTGACAATGTTTGTATCCTTTACATTGAGCTGTAATCTGTATTATATAAAAGCCTGTATTCTTTGATCTACACACGTTTCAAGTTCTTTTCACTTTCTGCAATGTAGGTCGTACATTTGCATATCACGGATTGTTAACAAGTCTTCTCCCAAACCTGATGCTACATTCTTCTCCATATAGTCCAACTTCTCAAATTATTTGCTAGCCAAATGGCTTAACTAAATGTAGTGAGAGAAGACAACCCTGCTGCACACCTGTCCTGATTTTAAAGCATTCAGTATACCCTTTTTTCTGTTTCAAAGATTATCTTTTAAGCTGTTACAAGTTTTGCATGAATACAATGACTTGTTCTGTGATTCTCATTAGGTCAATGTTATCCATAGTTTGTTATGATCCACACAGTTGACAACAGTTGAAGAGTCAATAAAGGACAAGTAAATGAATTTCTGGTATTCTATGATTTTAGCCAAGGCCCATCTGATATTGAGGTGGGATCCACCCCATATCCTGATGGGTTCTAAGGGATGGTTGTGTAATTTAAGTAAAGACATTACGAGACAGACAAAAGTTCTGGGATGCTCACCTCCATGGTATCTGGAACAAAGTCCAGGAGAGAGAAAATGTATTCTTATATCAATTTATATAGTCTCAGGGCATGAAAACCCCTTAATTACAGGTGATCACATAGGTAACAAAGTGGGCTGTACCTTACCCTAGAAATCCCTGAGTTCATTGGAGGAGAAACCTCACATCAGTGCTGGGGGCAAGTGAAGGGAGAGTGACTGACCCCCGGAGCAGGAGCAGGGAGAGCAACGTGTTTGCTCCAGTCAATAAAGCTTCCAGCCAGATAGCAATCAGCCATGCTCTTATCAGAGGTAACTTTAAGGAAGCACTATTATGTGCTTGTAAGAGGTAACTTAAGGTAGCACTATTATGGGAGGATATACTCTTAATTATGAGAATGTGATTGGGCTACATCTCTAACTCACAAATGTCAAGTCTTCCCTCCACCCAGAACCCTGGTTTCCCAGGCTTTTTAATATGAGTTTGTCATATTAAATATGAGTTTAATATGAATAAAGCATTTGTTCACATACACTCCCTTCCCAGTCCTCAGTTTCCCACATTATTCTCAGTTTCCCCCAGTTGGCAATGATAATATCTCTTATTCCACATCCTCTTCTAAAGCTAGCTTGAATATTTAGTGATTCCCTGTCAATATACTGGTGCAATCATTTTTGAGTTATCTTCAGCAAACTTTTACTTGCATATAATGATGATATTGGATAATTTCCACATTCTATGCGGTTACCTGTCTTTGGAACAAATATGGATCTCCTCCAAGATGACTAGGTCAGCCACTAGCTTCCAGAGATGCATCAGTTTTATGAAACCTTTGGATTGGTATTCTGTCAGTTCCTAGAGCCATATTTTTGACCAATGCCTACAGCATAAGTCGGATTTCTTCCTCCAATATCATGGGTTCTTTATTATATGCTGCTTCTTAAAAATATTTTGAACATCAACCAATTATTTATGGTAAAGTAACTATATATAGTCTTTCTATCTTCTTTGATACACTGTGTCATTCAATATCCTATAAAAATAAATTTTTATAATAAAATTTTATGTATGCAAATACGATTCTGATACTCTGTATATGCTTTGGTGCACTGAATTCTTATGGTCATTTGTGATATACTTATCATTATTTCACATTCTTACATAATTGCCACCAATTCACAGGTGAGGGTTTAAAAACTAACTACAGTAAAAGTTTGATTTCATTTTTCTTTTAAAAATTTTAACTTTACAAAAGGTGTTTCTATAACCTTGCTCAAACACACAAACACACACTTAATTGATCATTATTTATGCTTAAAATGAAGATATTAATTGCTTGTTATGTAATATAAAATTGAATTTTCTTCAATGCTTCTCTTCAACCCATTCACCACCATCACATTAACATAAAATTTTACATAATGAATTGATTTCAAATTATAATTAAAACCCTTACATATTATAGCATCAATGAAAATTCTTACTAAAGAAAGGTGTAAATAAGGTACAATAACGTTTCTGTAAAAGAATCCATGTTGAGATGTTAGTATATTTAAAACTTCTATATACCTACTAAGTTTACCTACATCAGGAGCATGTAACTGTTTTGCTTTAAAAATAAGGAAGAAGTGTTCTTGTTATGTAAAAATACGATGACAGAGGAAGAAGTATAAGTTACAGTTTATTTCTCTCCCCGTTCAAATAGAAACTTGTTCATGGACCCAGAGGAAGCTTTAGAACCTTCCAAATGCAGGCTTCTATGAAGAGCTCATTAAATTCAAATAATAAGCCATATATATATATATATATTTTAACCTCGAGCCATATAGAACACTAATAATAATGAGGAGGAGGAGAGATGCTGAGAGATTTTTTTTTTAAAAATAGGCAAATGTACAGCGGAACCTGACGTGGGTATGCACGGCCTTTTCATCCTGTCTCCTGAAGCATAAGCTGACTTACCACTAATGAGAGGTTCTCCTTCTGAATGAATAATCAGTAAACACTCATGTATGTTAGTTGCTTCTATCTTAAGAATTCCCAAGTTAAGCTCTGTCTGGTCTAGTCTGTGTGCTTACTGTTGCGATAGGTCCTTCCTGACATCAAGAACGTTCCTGTGAGGTTGGGAACAGCCATAGGTTATATGGTGATTTCTCTCTTCTCTTTTTCTGTACCCAGAATCAGACATAGCTGACTTTGATGGCCGGAGCTCCCTTTTGTACCGATTCAACCAGAAGCTAATGAGTACGCTCAAAGATGTGATTTCCCTCAAGTTCAAGAGCATGCAAGCAGATGGAGTCCTGTTCCATGGAGAAGGTCAACGAGGAGACCACATTACCCTGGAGCTGCAGAAAGGGAGGCTGTCCCTGTACCTCAACTTGGGTAGGTTCAGGCTATATCCCTCCCTTCCCATAATGATGTGGGGGGTTTGTTTTGGGTATAGATTATAGTTATGTTGCTGATGTCTGAGAGGTCCCTGGAGAATAAGGGACATATTCCCTTATCCAGGTTGAGCTAGAAACGTGCCATTTCTTGAAATGTCTAAACCATGGACAAAATCTATGAAATTACTTAATTTTGAAAATAAAAGTAAGAGATGCAATCTAATGTTATTTGCTTACTTGATCAATCTGCTCTTTGTGGCACATTTAAAGAAGTTAAATATTAAACTCCAAGGGCAAAATCAGAAGAGAAAAATGTTTTGATTGACTTATTGTTATTGTTTAGTTGTAGTTGTTGTTCATCTTCTTCTTGATGACCTCTTACAGCTCATCGGGTCATTCGTGTTTCAATGTAGAAAATCTGTTCTTCAGATGAGCTCATGAAATTTAGGTGGGATGGACTCAAGGAGTATTTTATCTTTTGTGGTATTGTTCAATTTTTTTCAGCTTTAATTTGAATTTCCCCTGTCCTAGTTTTGGCTGATGATATTGAGCTCCTCCATCATCACTTCCCACAAATGCAGTGAATTTGCTCTATGTGTATTCCATCGGGAGAAGTCCGTGTATATAGTCACCTTCTGTGTTGTCGAAAACACTATTTGCTATGAATAAATCGTTGGTCTTGCAAAATTCTATCTTGAGATATCAAGCTTTGTGTCTTTCACCAAGATCATATTCTCCAACTACTGTTCCTTCCTCTTTGTTTTAATCTTTTGCATTCCAATCACTAATAATGAACAATGCATCTTGATTGAATGTTTAATCAATTTCCAACTGAAGACATTGGTAGAACTCTTCAATTTCTTCATCACTAGTTTAAGTGGTTGATACATAAATTTGAATAATAATTCTATTGATTGGATTTCCTTGAAGGAAGAGAGATATAATTCTATGACACAATTGTACTTCAAGATAGACCTTGAGAAGTTCACTTGTGTGTTATATTGATATTGTTTGTTATTTATCACATTCTATTGAATTTCCTATAAAATGGCATTAATATATATCTTCTGCTGGTTGGCCAAGTTGCTGTCTTTCAAAATTATGAACACTTCTAACATTGTTTTATGTATTAAAACATCTCACTTGGTATCTGATTTCTTGAAGCCATTTTTTGTTTTTTTCAGGCAATGCCTACAGTGCAACTTGGACTTCTTTCTTCAGTGCCATTGATTCCTGATCATATGCTTTTTCTTAAAATGTTTAAATGTTTGCCAGATCTTTTGTGTTCAGTGATTCTGCATTCGTTTTATCATCTTTTGATGCATTCTATAGAGTTCATTATTTTGCCACACAATCCTTCCATGGTACTACTGGAGGTTTGGAGTTTTCCTTCATTTCTTTTGGGTTGTTGTGTCCTCCCTTTTGTTGTTCTTATGCTAGCTATTTACACATTTTATTATAGTACTCATACTTCACTTTGTCTTGTTGAGTTATTCTTTGAAATCTGTTACTTCTTTGAAATGTCTTGTGTTCATTTCAGCTATTCTACATTTGAGAACAAGTTTTAGTCTCCTCTGGCACTCATTTTTGTGTTTTATTTCCTGTCTTCTTAATGATATTTAACTTTCATGTCTGATGTCCTTAGTTTGCAAAGTTTCCTAAAATTCTTCAATTTATTCATCTTTGGTAATAGTGGTTGATGTGTACAGGTAAAATATTTATATTAACTGATCTTTCTTGTGAATGGATGAGTACTATACTATTACTGATGGAATTGTGCATACTTCAAATAGATGTTGAAATGTTCTTTTTAACAATGATTGTGAAGCCTTTTCTTTTTCAATTTGTTATTCCTTACATAGTAGACAGTATGACTATGTGACTTAAAATGTTCAATACCAGTTAATTTCAGCTCACTAATTCCTAGAGTCTCAAACGTTATGCATTCCATTTCATGTTTGATAACTTCCAATTTTCCTAGATTCATACTTCCTGATTTGCATCTATCTGTTAGTAACAACCATTGTTTCTTCTCATTTTCAGCTCTGCCATATTAGCAAAGGCAGGTCCCCAAATCATTATTCTGTCTGCATTGTAAGATTGACTCTACTGTGGCAGTAACTTTTCCACAGTCATATTTTGAATATTATCCAGCCTGAAGGGCTCATCATCTGGCACTATATAAGACAATGTTCCACTGTTATTTTAAGGTTTCAGCTAGCTAGACCCACTGCCTCTTTTCTTTTTTCCATTTTTAATAGAAGCCCTTCTTCCTAGACACACACACAAAAGAAAAGTAACATACAGCATTCCATGGAATACTATGAAACTGAACCTTAAAAATAAAAATGATGAGAATTGATTAAGGTAGATGTCCAGATATATTAGATGAAAAGAAAAGGTGTGGAAAATACAATTATGTTACCCTTAGTTAAAATTAAAGAGTATATGGTTTTACTGACTTGCATATGCTTAGAATTTCTCTGGGAACAAAAATAAGACATTAAGAATAACCTTAATAATAATGGTTACCTGTGTGGGAAATGAAAATTGAGTTGACGGTGGACAGGTGACAGTGATGGGAAGATCACTGACCATCTAAATTTGAATAATAAATATAAAGCCATAACATATGTAATCAGGTTGACTTATTCATAATTAAGTTAGTCCTTTGAAGCAGGAATGATCATCTATGTAAATAATAAAATATGTTTCCCATTATAATATAATTTTAATTTGTCATTAGAACATATACACATGATATATTTTAAAATCATTCAAACAAATTGATGGTAATATAATTGTATTTTTGATAATACACTGTATTTTTTCCGCACCTTTTGTTTTTGTCTAGGATACCTGGATATCTACCTTCATCAATTCTCATCATTTTTACTTCATTTTTTTAAGTACAATTTTATGGTATTCTACTAAATGCTGTATGTCATGTTATTTCGCTAATTTATTACTGATGGACGCTTAGGCTGTTTTACCTGTTTTGAGAGACTGCTGAAATACCTTGTACAGGACGTGCAGGTGGTTCCCTTTTTTTTACCTTTTTGTAAAACAAACATCTGACTACATTTTGAAATCTTCAGGTTTTTGTACTTATTTTAAATGACTTCTTTTTACAACTTAGATGCATATCAAGTACAACAAAAAACTATAATATTAAATATCACTTATTCACAAGAAATAACAGCTTATGAGACAAATTTGGTTTTCCTCAACTAAGCATTAAGTCTCAAACATATTTTACTTTATACATAAAGATATGTGTGTAAAAGGCAGAGAGAGAATTTTCTTTTTGGTTTTTCTGTTGTGAGTGATAACCCTTTCATCCATTTGCTCAAAGAAGACAATAAGGAGTTGTTTTGGAGTGAATTTCCCCCTTTTATTTCCCCATCCACCATACGCAAGTATTATATAACCCTCATCATCATTAGAACTCTGCTCTCTCTGTTCCTTCTCAGCTCTCTTCACTAAGCCCCCAGGGAAACTAGCCACAGTGTCTTAAACAATTCCCAGGCTTCATTCCAAAATAGTCTTTCTGAAATTTCTATGAAAGTCTTCAGTATCAAATTAATCAAACATGCAATCAAGATTCCTTGGTCACTTTTGGCAATTGGAATGCAAAAGTTGGAAACAACAAGGAAAATATGGTCTAGGTGACAGAAACAAAGCTGGAGATCAAATGATAGAATTTTGCAAGGCCAACAACGTGTTCATAGCAAAAACGTGTTTTGCAAACACGAACAGCGATTTCACACATAGACTTCTTCAGACGAAATACACAGAAACCAAACTGGTGACATCTGTGAGAAGAGACCTGAGAAGCTCATTATCTGCAGTTGAAATCAAGGCCAGTTTCCTATAGGCAAGTTCAGGTTGAAGTCGAAGAGAATGAAAACAAGTCCACAAGCGCCAAAATGTGACCTTGAGTCTATCCCACCTGAATTTCAAGACCATCCGAAGAACAGCTTTCATACTTTAAACGCTAATGACAGAAGAACTGATGAGCTATCAGAGGACATCAAGAAAATCACTCCTGAAGAAAGAGAAGGTCATTGGAAAACAGGAAAGAAAGAAAAGGTCAAACTGGATGTCAGGAGACACTGAAATGTCCTCTGAATTGTAGAGCGACAAAGGCAAAGGGAAAAAATGATGACGTCAAAGAGCTGAATAGAAAATGTCAAAGGACTCAGTGCATGTATACATGGATTGTGATAGGAGTTGTGAGCTCCCAATAAAATGATTTTTAAAAAAATGAGGAGCCAATACCAAGGGCTCAAGTGGAAAGAAAATGTTTTGAAAATGATGATGGTAACAGATGTGCAAATGTGCTTGACAAATTGGATGGATGGATGGACTGTGATAAGAGCTGTATGAGCCCCCAATAAAATGATTTTAAAAAGAAAGAAAGAAAATGTCAAAGGACAGCTCAGATATATAAAGGACACTTCTATAATAAAATGTGCAAAGACCTGGATTTAAAAAATGAGGAAAAATAAATAAAATGAAAAACAAAAAATAATCAAAGAGGAAAAACACACTCAGCATGTCTTAAACTGAAATAACTCAAGAAAAAAATCTCAAGCTTCCAGTTACAACACGTACATCATTCTTGGTAAAGTAGAGAGGCTGGAAGGAGGAGCAAGGCCATCGAAGAGATGAATTGCCGTATTAGCTGCAACCGTGGGCTCCAGTGTAGGAACGACTGTGAGGATGGTCAGGACAGGGCAGGGCTTCGTTCTGTTGTGCATAAGGTTGTTACGGCTTGGAACGGACTCGAGGTCACCGAACAACAATCAGAGACCTGAATTAATCATCTCTACATTACGGATGGATCCAGTTTCCACATGTCTTTCAACACTGACCTGCACCTAAGTCATTCTACTTCCAGTGACCCTCTCAGTAGTAGCCCGGATGCTTCTGAGCCTTTCCAGGAATGTTCTTTCTGTGTGACAGCACATCTTCTCTTGGTCAAAATTAAAGCCA